TTGTCCAGGTCGTGTTGGTTTACGCTGCCCACGCGCACGTGAGTGCCTCTGCGTGACGTTGTCGCTTACGTGCCCGTGCCGTGCATCCCCTGGACGCCACGTATAATGGAAGCCCGGCGCTCCAATTGTATTCTGCGGACGCGTGCAGAAGCCGAGAGTCATCGAGAGTCTCTTTACGCCGGTCTATTAGCGGTGACCAAGGGAGAGCACATGCAGAGAACGATTTTACAGAAATATTAAAAAATTTAGCTACCCAAGTGGGAATTGAATACTGGTGAGAGATACTGGCCCAATACTAACTTTTAATATTGAGCACCAACGTGATACTAGGTATCAATATTGGAGTATTATTGGAATGATAGCAATGGGCTTGAAATATATTAGTATTCTGTAAAACTTTTAGTGAAGATCTCACTCTGAAGAATAAAATCTCATTCTCAAAGATTGAAAATTGAGACATATCTTTTCAAGACTGGCTCAATTTTCACTTTTTAGAGTAACATTTCACTTCATGACATTTTAAGATTATACTTAAGCCAATCTTAAGTATAAGAACCAATTATGAATACTATAATATGTCTATGGTTTATATTTTGTCTTTTACCTTCTCTTATCGGAAAGGATTAAATATTACAATAATAATAATAATATGTACTGTATAAAAAATTAATACCGATTCTCAATATTGCAATGGTACCATAACTCAATAGTCTTTGAAAATAATTCTATTAGATCATCAAAATAATTATGTAGAAAACTCGAGCGTGATATGAACAATACTAAAGAGGGTTTCCATATTTTAGTAATCAGTTTGAACATTCTACATAGACTATTAGTCCGATAAAATTAATTTCAGATTTGTTTATTATCTATAATTTTTTTTATAATAAAACTGTTTTTTCCATAGAAAATTTTAGACACACAAAATTTTCGAATGTTGCAATTAACATTCGCGTTACGTGATTGAGACGTCGCGTATTTTTTTCAGGTTACACCTCGGATTATTATTGTGTTATTCATGGAATAACAACTGCCAAAAACGCAAATAGATATCAATGATTTATCATCCGTGTTACGTGTCGCGTGATGATTTATATACGTATAAAGTAACATTCGACTGGTAAATTTTTTAAATTTAAATTTTTAAAGTTTAAGTTATGTATTGTTAAATTTTTTTGGTGTCCCACAGCGAAAAGTGTTTTCATAAAATGTTAATTATTTTGAATTGTAGGCTGCGTATGACTTCTGCTTGCGAGCGATAAATTCGTTCTAAGCGAGGCGCGCCTCGCGAATCGCGTCATCTTGCGTTTTCCCTGCCATCCCTTCGTTTCGCTTCGTGTCTCTCGCCTCATGTCTTTTATTCGTCGCTCGCACGTTACTCCATTCGCGACAGCGGGAGAAAGAGAGAGACGCTTAAAAAAACGGAGCCATATAACTCCGGATCAAGCTGATGCGGCATTTTGCGCGCTTTACGTCGACAATTTACTGGACCACACGTGCGTGCGCCGCGGATCCTGACGCGTCGCGATCCTGAAAGGATCGCCTTCAACGTGCAGTAACAACTCACGCTGGCGTGGGCCGCCGATTGTCCCCGCGACGTGATCTTACGCGAATTTACAGTTTCGCTCACGCATAGGTGTGCTCCAAGCACGCGTCTACCTACAGCCGGATGCGTAATTTATCCGTGTGAGTTAGCGTGATAGCGACAGACTTATATCTAGAAATATAAATAAAGATCTCTTGAATCTCTTTTATGCCATGAACATATCAAAATTATGTATCATGCGATTTTTCATTGATTTAATATACTAATGTAGTAACTATTTGTGACATAATGGAACGCAGCGTGAAATGCAAAGATCGAGAGTATGAGATTAGTTACATAAAACTGAATGTATTTGCAGTTTTTACGAATAATTTTAATATTATTTTTTTACTTAATTTTTTGTTAATTTTGACAAATAATTTTTTATTAAAAACACTATTCGCATTAATTTCGAGCACGGCTATTGCAAAAATACTGCGAGGTTTCGCGTAGAATCGCATGATACGTGAAATAAGCAATTCTATATTTGAACGCAAACAAAGCGTAAGATATTTTATTAACGATACCTAAGAGTTTGAATCTTACGATGTGACATCGTGACAATTAGTTGATAATGACTGACACTGTGCCCCAGAGTGGTGAAATTCTGAGGTTTATCTATATTTTAGATTTTTCCAACTCTTGCGATCACGAAGTCAACGCATACTGAAAGGATTTTGTTAATTTAACAAGCCACCAGTACCTTTAACCGGTGATTGGTAAATATGTGACAACAAATTTTATTGTGTTTGCTGCTAGTTTGCTATACCAACCAATTATTAGTAACAGAAGCAAACTATATAGAACCTATCTTTTGGATAGACTTTAGACTTGTTTGCATAGAATTCGTAGATGATCGTGGAGTCTTAAGTAGGAAACCGACCAAGCACAGTCAAATGTAGAGAAAATACTTGATTAGAATTGGTCAATTTCTTACGATTTGGGATCCTGCAATTGTCTACGACTTTTATATATACATATGAGCTTCTTATTTGCTAGTAATACTATTGATTATTTGTTGACGAATTTGCAATCGTAACAAATTGATCAGTTTTTTAACAAATATCACATTTGCTTTCCTTTGATTTCCTATAACAAAATCATTTCTCTCAGTACACTAAGATTCAAAAAAACTTGAGATTATAAACAGCTAAATAAAGCATGTAACTCGCAAGTTTTATCAATATATTTTGCTTTACTTTATTATTATAGCCGTTTACAATGTTCTGATATCGTGAAAGTCAATAAGAAAAGATACTCTAATGATCGCCGATCTTAACACATCAAGTACTTGCATAAAGAAAACAAATAATGATATTAGATTTGTCTAATTTATTGATACATTAATTTTTGACAATAACACTTTGTTCAAATTTTACAGTTTTATTTCATACATTGAAAAAATTTCTGAGTGAAAATGAACGAAAAGATTTTGATCATATCAATCAGAATTCTAGTTATCTCAACTAGAATTATAATAAATTCAATAAAAAAATTGTCCATTTTCAATCAGTATTCCAATTAAGGCAACCAGATTCTTTTTTCAGTATACAGTCTTATTTTGCGAATGTTTGTCTGTTCGCTCTAAACTCTTGAATATTTTTATCATAACATCGACAATGCAAATATTTCGAATCATAAAATAGATTTTACTTATTATATAATAGGACAATAAAATGTATTGAGAATTTAATGTTTTAAGCTTTTTTTATATGGTATTTACGTTAAATTAACACACATTTTTACTGGTGCTTTAATAGTGGCAATTTAATGGTGTTTTAATTTGCTATTAGTCTTTTACTTAAGTTCTAGTATCGTGATTCGGATAAAAATTATAATTACTGAGTTTTCTGACTATTTTGAAAAAGTCAATGCGCAAAGATGCGAAATAAGTTGTTTATCATTTTCATCAAGAATCGCTAATTGAAATTGCCATGTTGCGTTTTGGCATGCTGTTTTTTTTTTATTTTATCACAGAGTAATGGATATATTAATAATTAGCGATTTTGTCAATATTATAACTGCGCTTAATATGAATTTAAAATTCACGAAGTGATAATCTGTTCCGTGGTTTCAATAAGATCAGAAATTTTTAATACATTTTCGAACACTAAATGCAATTAGATCGGTCGATTGCATTAAATACATGCACCGATAAAACAATTTATAAGTGATTCACGAAACTGATTAAATCGCATCAGTGTATTGTATTACGAATTTCTTTCAAAAATTCATGAATGACGTTTATAATAAAATTATAAACATTCGTTTGTTTATTTATATTTTAGATTGATATTGAAAGGCCACTTTCGCTTATTCAAATCAGTCATAAATAATTATTGTGTAATATATTTCATCAATTTGAGTCATTCTTGTGACTAATGTTTATCATTTTTACTAATGTAGATTATATTTAATCTTAATTTAATTTACTTTTTATCTTTTCCTAGTTTTGAGAATTAGAAGATTAAATCGAAATTATATAAAATCAGTCTATATTGTCAAAAATAGACGTAATTCAATCTGTACGTTATATTCAAAATTATTACTGTACAAAATTATGACTGTATAGAAATCACAATGTCCTCCTCCACCTTATTCTCCCTTACGCATTGATCAGTCCTTACATTTACGAGTATCCACGGTACGTACCTTCATGATCTCCGTGAGAGATCAAAGTAAAGAGGAGCTCCTTGTAAACTTGTGGATGCACCGGTACGCGGATAATAAACCCTCAATCTCTCATTCACAGCTGCTGCAGACCTTTCTGCGACATCGCACGGGACGTCACGAAATGCGATCGCGACGGATGCAAAGGAAATTATTCGCGAGAGTTACTAAGCTATCAACTCCGCGAGCACCGCCGGCGATCGTTAAGCGCCATGCGAGGAGGCGACGCGCGAGAGGAGCACCATGATATACAATACGGGAGAGTCGGTCCACGTTCCGGGCTCTCTTGCTATAATAACGTAACTCCCGGTCTCGCGCGCGCTCAGCCGGGATGATGCTGTACGCCACA